AGGTCCTTGATGGTCAAGTGGACGGCAATTTTGATTTTGTCAAAAAATTGCGAGATGGAAAAGTATTGTAAAAGTACAATACAACACCCAGATTAAGGATTTACTTAAGCTGACGCAAATTCATGATCTTTGAGTTAAAGTAACTATTCCTTTTGGCCCAAACACCTGTAAGGGAGTAATCTTTCACAGGGATTTGAGGACGATGGAAGAAAGTGAAATTCTCGAGAGCATGAAGGACCAAGACGTAGTAGGCGTTCATTGTATGACCAAGAAGGACGGGAATATGCGAACGAAAACTGGACTGTGTTTCTTGACCTTTGCCCTGAATAAAATCCCTGAATGTCAATGTCGGTTATGAACGTGTTCAAGTAAGACCTTATGTCCAAAAGCCAATGCATTGTAATAGAGGCCAAAAATTCGGACACACCTCATTAAGATGTATTGACAAAGACTCTGCTAAATTTACTTGCCGTAAATGTGCTGATGCCCATGACACCATCACATGTACTAGCCAGATTTCCAAATGTGCTAACTGTGGAGGTCCCCATCAGTCAGGATCTGCCGAGTGTAACATCCTGAAGAAGGAGACTGAGACATTAGCATATATGTGAAAGCATGAAGTTAGTTATACTGAAGCTAAGACGAAAGTTGAAAGTTTGACACACAAACCCGATACTTCCTATGCTGCAGCAGTAATTAACAACACCCATAGCACAAGTGATGTCAGTCAACAGCTTGCAGCTAAGGATAAAGAGAGTGCCGAACTCAAACAAACTGTGAAAGAATTGAATATTAAAGTTTATCAAATGACTAAATTGGTCGATTAAATGGCTGCATCAACCCAGCATAAACATCAAAAGGAGGATGATACCGAATCACTGTCCGGAGCGCACCTTCCCGTCCGGGCTGCTCCTGTGAGGACTTCGTCTGGCTCGCGATCGGCTTCTCGAGAGAGAAGCAGATCGCAATCTGTCAGTCGTCTCCCTCGCCAGGAGGTGCAGGACATGGAGGCTTCTGTCTCCAAACCATCCCGTGAGAGGTCCCCGGGAAGCGAGGGAGGGGAGGCGCCTCCCTCCCATAAAAAGAAAATTCGAACTGGTGGACAAGGCACTTCCAAACCCCATAAAACGTAATCTTCACGTCGACCATTATACAGTGGAACTGTCGAAGTATTAGATCTAAAGTAAATGACCTTAAATTATTATCCTCGTCCTATGCTCTCGATATAATAGTTCTCCAAGAAACGCATTTAATAGAATTCGTCTCTGACGAGGTCGTTTCGCTGAGGAACTACCATCTATGTCGGAAGGACCGTGAGGGTAGGGGTGGAGGCGGAGTCGCCATGTACATCCACCAAAACCTCCCTTTTACAGAAGTGACTTTTGATTCTACTTTGGAGTTTGTCGCACACTAGGTAAAAATTAATGGCACATATTTGGCTATATGATCAATTTATTGGCTATATGTTCAATTTATTGTACACCTGATATAGTGATAATCTATGATATATTTTAGGTGATTTCAATGCTCATCACACGTTATGGGGTTCCCTGCGGGTGGATGGTAGTGGTGAGCAAGTAGTTAAGTTGATTAATGAGTCTGATTTAGTCCTGAACGATGGTAGTCCCACGCGGGTAGACGATAATACCGGTAATTTTTAGCTTTATTGACCTATCACTGGTCTCTTCATCAGTAGCAGCTAAGTGCCTGTGGCACACCATTGACGACTCGTTGGGAAGCGATTACCTTCCTATTTTGATTAAATATTCTTGCGACACAGTGAGAACGCCTTCAGCGCCTAAATTTAACATATAAAGAGCAGACTGGGTCGCCTTCACAAGGAGCGAACTAGTTGGAGAGACCATTTATGATAAAGTAAACAATATTCAGAATTCGATTATAGAAGGAGCTTTGCTATCCATTCCTAAAACTTCGATAGATAGCGTTAAGCATAGAGTTCCATGGTGGACACCAGATTGCCGCAGAGCGCTGTGCTGACGCAATAAGGCCTACAGGCTTTTCAAAAATAACATCACAAATGAGAACTTTTGCAACTACAAACTAGCAAGAGCTAGAGCTCGCAGAGTAATTAGACAAGCTAAAAGAGACTCCTGGCGGAGCTTTGTCTCTACAATAAACAGTAATACAAAAACAACAGAGGTTTGGTCCACTATCAAGAAAATCAATAAGAAAAAAACATCTTTCAAAACTAAAACATCATTGACGAGGGCAATAACATCGATTCACCTAGAGACATTGCTAATGCACTCGCCAGGCAGTTCTCTCATACAAGCAGCTCAGCAAACTACTATCCCGCCTTCCTGCTCATCAAGGAAGCGGCTGAGCTGCAACCTATTCATTTTGCCACAGGAAATGACTTTGATTACAATAAAGATCTAACAATAGAAGAGCTTGTCCGAGCCCTAGAAACCTGTAGAGGAACATCCCCAGGCCCCGATGAGATTCGATATGAGATGATAAAGCATCTTAATCATGATGACATGATTAAGTTGCTAGAAGTATACAATGAACTTTGGAAAAGCCACACTTTTCCAAACTCATGGCACTTCGCCCACATCATTCCTATATTGAAAGGAGGGGGTAATCCGAAACTTGCCATCTCCTACCGCCCAATTGCGTTGACAAGTTGCTTATGCAAGGTCATGGAACAAACTGTTAACAGTAGGCTATTGCACTTTTTAAATTACAGTAATTTGCTAGTTGACGAGCAGTGCGGTTTCCGAAAGGGACGCCAAACTCTCGATCAACTTGTAAAGCTGGACAGTCATATATAAGAGGCCATTGCCAAAAAAAAAAAAAAAAAAATTCATATCAGTATTTTTAGATATAGAAAAAGCATACGACATGACATGGCGATATGGCCTACTCAGAAAACTTTATGCTTTTGGATTACATGGAAACTTGCCTTGTTTTATTCAAAATTTCATTTCTGACAGAACTTTTTCTGTCAAATTATTTTCTGACAACGTCGCTTTTTCGGACATTTTTGTCCAGGCAAACGGGGTCCCACAAGGAAGTGTCTTGTCACCAACATAATTTCTGTGTATGATTAATGACATCTTACCAGCTCCCCCTCGGAATCTTAAATACTCATTGTACGCTGATGATTGTACATTATGGCACTCCAACAATAATGCAGAATTCTCAGCAAATCGCATCCAATTGGCACTGAATATGGTTCATAACTGGGGCCTCCAGTGGGGTTTTAAGTTTTCCATTAGAAAGAGTATTGGGGTAATTTTTTAACATAGGAAAAAGCCGAACATCAGGCTAACTCTAGAAAACCACCCAATACCAATTCAAAATTCTGCTAAATTTTTATGTTTACTTTTTGACAGTAGACTCAATTGGAAAGACCACATTGGTCAGTTATAGAATAAATGTCAAAAAGCACTAAATTTATTAAAATGCATTTCTGGTAATAAATGGGGAGCTGATATACAGTCTTTGCTAATGGTATATAAAGCTCTAATTAGGTCTTAAGTAGATTATAGGTCAATCGTGTATGGTTCGGCATCGAGAACAAGTTTGAAAGGTTTGGATGCTGTGCAGAATGCTTGTTTGCGTGTGTGTGTTGGAGCCCTAAAATGCACTCAGATCGAGCGTCTTGAGATGGAATCAGGAGTACCTCCCCTCCGACTCA